TATCATACTATCTGGTCTAATATGAGGTTAAAATATTAACCAAAAAATAAGTAATGCAACAAATAACATTTTTAGTAAGTTATATGATTCCATCGTACCAGATTAATACCATAACAGAATGTAATCAATGTTCATACTTATTGCAACTAGGTAGCTTTTGATGGAAAAAGATATAGGTCTGGCCTATGTATCTGAAGATAAATTTCTCAAACAAGACAAGTTTAGGCCTAAGGGTAAAAATAGCAGCAAATTAATTTGTAAATAAAATAACTAAATAGAAGGTATATGAATCAATATGGTTTTAAACTAGCATCATTAGAACTGTAACGCTTAAATCAATCTTTCATGACTACAGAAAGGTTAATAAATGTAATTCGAGATTTAAGAGGGTTCTACCCGGCAGCCTCAAGTTCAATTCACAATGGCGGATTATATGGATTGAGATATAGGTAGTTCGGGATTGAACATGCCTCAATTGTACAATCTCCCAACATTCTACAACTAATTTGTTTCCAATGATCGTGTGCTTTTGTGCTCTTAACATATCAGAGCTTGCAATGGATGGGGAAAACTTACTTTTAACCATTATTTTGAAGTTAAAATCGCATGTGAAAAAGGATTTTCAAAATTATTTTATAAATACTTTAAGAAATAAATGCAAAGTTTCAGTTCATCCAGTTTGGATCTCTGTGAATATTTCACAGTTTATTTTTACTCGACAAACACCTTAATAATACCACGAGGGTTTTTTTGTCGGACCATGTTTATGCATTACCGGGTGGGACCCTCTTAAATAGCCTAACATAATAGACCAGACCTCCAATGAAAAAATGTGGTGATTAATGGGATGAATTTGAACAAAATTTTGACAACAACAACAACTTAGAACAAATTAATTTGCCTAAATTAAGTATACACACACCATTTTTAAATTATTCTATAATTAACTTGTGGCCTGAAATTGTATATTGCCCTATTTGGCATAAAATAAACTGCTGACTAAAACTTAAAATGTGGTTAACAATTCTCATAAAAAGTGGTGTCCTTATTAGTGGTTGACATTAATTTAACTACTATACTGAAAGTGTGGTGATCAATGTTATTTTTATTCCCTAGTGTTCTTGTTAGGTACCTACATACTTATTACATTAGGCACTCATAAGGCCTCAGGTACGATATGAGCATCGCGCGGTGAGCGGCATTTGAAAAAAAACGTAGGTAAGTAGCAGTGGTGGTTACGATACAGGCAACAATTTTCTTAATGCTCATCAATTTCCTGTGTAGTAGGTGTAGGTGTAAGTAAAGTTCAAGATGGCAAACTATGCAGACCTTGAATTTTTTTATTAGGCCTATTGTTAAAGAAACACTTAGTTTTGTTTGTTAGAAACAACCGATTAATTGTTTACAATAGAACTGAAGAATGATTCATCTGAGCGGCAATTTGGCAAAATCTATCTGGACCTAACATTATAAGTGGCGCTGCTTACTGTCGCTCACCACTAAGACGTATCATGGCCATGGCCACCCTCAACAAATTTACATATAAGTAAATGAGACCCGATGTCAGATTGGCGCTGCTCACCACTCATATTGTAGCCGAGGCCTAAGAAGTTCAATGATTGGTCAAGACTAAACATTACTTAACTGTGAAGCATTAAGTATGGTTTCAGTAAATAACATAAACTGATCAACCGTTTTGATTTCCTATCATTGTTGTAAGTACAGCTTCATGTCCTTGTATGGAAAACACAAGATTAACACAATATGTATTAAAATACCTACGGTATAGTATGATTGTTCATATCTAGCTGGATGTTATGAAAACAAACTGGTTAGGCCTTCAAAACACTTTTTGACGATTCTTCAGGGACATTTTCTTTGAGTTCTTCACTTTCACAGTCATGCTTTACATATGATGTATAAACATCATAGCCAAGTGAAATTGTGTTGTCGTATAACACCCTAAATCGAGTAGGTAAAATATAAAAATTTATAATTTGTGCTGGAGGCCATATTATCCATTCTGCTACATAGAGTCTGTGACCTTTACTAATTATTTCTCGCTTTACTTCTGTCCATGATGAATTTTCAAGGTATCCAAGTGTTAAAAAGAAGGCAGTTATACATATTGGAGAACAAATTATTTGATCTATAACAACCTTTTTGAGAACAATTTTCAAAGTCCGTCCAGGCAGTGCTTTGTCTAAAACTTTGTACCAATTATGACTAATAATTCCAACAGTCAAGCCAGAAATTGACATGTGGTGAGTCCTCAGTCCGTCCCATTTTTCTCGTTTGTCAGTAACAATTTCATAGTGCTGTTGTAGAATGTCACCTACACCTGATAGGGTTATTGATATGCCAACATTGGTTAATAACAAGTACTTGTTGAACATAGTTCCACTGATGGTCCGGCATTTTTGAACAATTTTAGAGTTAAAAAGGCGGATTAATGAAATATGGGACATTTAAGAATGAAGTCCGATTGTTTTCCACTCAAGGTAACTGAAGTTACCCTAATGTCCTCAAATCGCCACTTTGTTTTACTTGGAGAAATCTTCTGTGTATTTTTTATTTCACAAACTAAACCTAAGGTAATAAGTTCAAATTACATTTAAGGTTCGATGAGTTGCCTTATCATCTATATTGGCTGAAAACCCGGTTTTCCGAACCATTAAAACTTAACTTACTCACAGTAGAATAGGCCCACGTGAAATGTAAATGCATTAATTATTCATTTACATAATCATAATCATAACCTTAAAACCCGTCTACAGTAACTTCACCAATTCTAATAAATTCTTATGAGAAGGAGAAGAGAAGAGAAGACTACAGCAGGTTGCAGAAGCAGGAGTAGACAGCTGTTGTGAAACATCAGCTGATCTGAGAAGTGCAAGTGAGAATGAGGAGATGAGATGACTCGATTGATTGAGACAATTCAATGGTTGCCGAATGCCGATTTGAAAAAAATATTAATATTTTCAACAGAATGACCAAACTATAATATAGCAACTCGAATCAAAAAATTATTAATAAAACCTTGTATTGTATCTCCCATCTCGTATGAAATTAAATCACCTGTTTTTTAAGAGACTAACAATGGTATGACTAGCGGTGGGGCACACGGAAGATTTCTCAGGTGCCGTTTGATGTCACTAACTGCTGACGTCACTAACTGCTGCGTCTGAAGAAACAGACAATTTTATAATTTTTCTATTATTAAATTAAACTGTCATAACCTAACCAAACTAACCAAACGTGCTGATAATGGAAAAATCGAATGAAGGTTTACTAATTTAAAAAAAAATAGTTTTGTGCATAAAATAAAATTATAAATGCCTAAAATTCAATTTTATAATTTTTAAATTATAAAATTAAACTGTCATAACCTAACCAAACCAACCAAACTTGCTGATATGAAAAAAATTGTTGACAAAAAGTTAGTGCTATCGGCGGGATTCGAACCCGGTACATTCGGATTACCAGCCCGCCACGCTATCCACTTTCACCACCGAGGCCGATGGCTCCAGAGCGTATCGTTGCGGTATTGGTGTTCCCTCAAAGTGACGTCAGCAGTTAGTGACGTCAAACGGCACCTGAGAAATCTTCCGTGTGCCGTTTCGGTATGACTAGTTGATTTAGTTTGTAAATTGTTATCTTGCAAATAATGTCTTACTTTACTTACTTACTTACTTGGATACTTGATCTCTTCATCGTTGACCAACAAATGTTAGATAGATTGCGTCATTAAATTGTTTCACTATTTACTAACACTATATTACATATATACAATTAAACTGATCTGACGGATGTGACTTTTTTGGGGAAAGCGAGTGGCTCGTCAAACAGTTCTTTTAAAGCGTACAAGGGCCTGCTGAGTAGGCTCTGGCGAAGTGCGGATTTGAATCGCTTTGGGTCTAGAGCTGGGATATTACTCGGCAGTGTGTTAAATAGTTTTATCGCTATTGAGGGGTATGACTATGACTGAAGTGTGTGGCGAAGCCGACAACGAGGTAGGTCCAGGTAGGTCAAGGTCACCAGCCCCGCGGGTCCCATAATTGTGCTGCATGCTTCTAGTTGAGAAGTTAGTTAAGTTGCTTCTCAGAAGGACTAAGGTGTTCAGTATATACTGGCTGTAGACCGACAAGATACCAAGTTCTTGAAAAATCGGCCTTCAATGGTCGGTTGGGCCGGAAGATGTTATCCGTCTTAGAGCCCTCTTCTGTAGCAGCAGCACACTTTGAGTTGCGTGGCTATGTCCCCATACCACCAAGCCATAGTTAACGTGACTGTGGAATAGTGAGTGGTACATGATGAGCAGGTAGGGGCGTGTGATCTCATTCTTTAGTCTTCTGATCAGATAGAGTACTCTGCTAAGCCTAACACATACCTTCTCAACATGATGATTCCAGTTTAGTTTGGAGTCGACCCAGAACCCTAACAGTTTCTTCATGGTTAGTTTGTTCATGGTAGTTTCTTGTCATGGCGACCAATAAACCCATCAGGCCCATGTTAAATTTCATAGTTCAAATTCTCTTAGAGAAAAGCCCTTTAGTCCGATTTGTACCATTTCTGATTTATACCTTGACATATTTGGACTGTGCTAAATTTCATGCGGATCGCTTCGGCCGTTCAGGAGGAGTATGTGGAAAACAAAAGCATGAGTAGTATAAGAGCTTCGCTCAATTATTTATTTCAAGCTTTCCCGTATAACGTCATTGTAAAGCCTGTATATTATAATCTCAGTTAATATGTATTTTAAGACTCTTGTGTGAACATCTTACCATTATCTAATAATAAATAAATAATTAAGTTATCTGTTTGTAAATATGCTTCTTTCCGTGGAAATAAATAAATAAGTTGTAGTTTTATGTACGAAATACTGTATCACTTGCGGAAGTTAACTTGGTTGTGGTGGACATACTGGGCGGGCAGTTTGTTTACTTCTCGTAATTTTAGTCTGCTTCTTGTCTGCTACTCTGCTAAGGAAAAAAGCTTCACTGTCACTACACTACTGTGCTCTGCTAGCTAAATGTAAATTTATAGGTAAAATAGGATAGTAACAACGGCCTGTCGAAGTTTACATAAAAGTGATTGAACAATTTTATTATACTTCAGTATTAATAAACTGTTTGTCTCGTCATTGTGTGATTTAAGTGGAAATGTGCCAAGTTATTAAACTGTTAGCTATAATTAGGACCTAACCTAACTATAATTTGGACTTAATTAATTACTAAAGTTTTACATATTCAGTGCAAATAATTATTTTTTAAATGTGGCTCATATTATGGCATTTGAAATTTTGTATTTTTTTAACTAGGCCTATTATAACTATTCTGTACTAGAACAATCTTGTTGAATTGTTTGGATTTAAACTTGTTGTCAGCAAACTCTTACAGTCATGAATTTAGGAGGTACTGTCCATCTAAACAGGATGGGCATTTGTGTTGTATTTTTTTGTTTTCTCATTGTAGCTTTATACATGACGAGAGATGTTCATGAAGAAGAACCAAAAAAACTACCATCGTACAATGTAAAACAATTGTTGATAGCTGCCATAGAACTTGCAGAGAAAGGTGGAGTCGAGGTATTCAATGTTAGAAAAAGTGCTGATTTGAAAATACAAAGTAAAGGTAAAACCTTAGAAGGAGCAAATAACCCAGTAACTGATGCTGATTATCATTCACATTGTGTAATGTATTTTGGATTGAAAAAGCTTTTTCCTTTAGTGAAGGTAAGTTTACATTTTTTGTTGTAGTGCAATACTTATAGGTTGCTCCTCATGAGCTTTGTATTGTTTTATATTTTATGTACATTTGTTAATCTAATTATTTTGTATGCTAAGCCTATGTCCAAAAATGTAAGTTAGTATAATTAAATAAGTAAGGTACTGTAATTGTTTTGTTACCGTACTTACAAGCGTCTAGGCAGCCAGTGCCACTCCGAGGATCGTGGATCAGAACACCCCCCACCACCGCACCATGTCGTACGCTTCCGAATCATATCGGCGCATCAGCATAGCCTATACTTAACTGTTCGCGGAAAATTGTTATCTCTATCACTGTCGCTGTCACAACGTATAGTTTGTAGGTTAAATTAAAATTAAATATAATTAAACTGTCATAACCTACTTGCTGTTAATGAAAAACTCGAATGAAGGTTTACTAATAAAAAAAATAGTTCTGTTTTAAAAATAAACTTATAAATATCTTAAATTCAATTTTATACGGTAATTTTTGAATTATAAAATTAAACTGTCATAACCTAACCAAACCAACCAAACTTGCTGATATGAAAAAAACTGTTGACAAAAAGTTAGTGCCACCAGCGGGATTCGAACCCGGCACCTACAGATTATCAGCCTGACACGCAATCCATTACACCACCAAGGCTCATGACTCATCTCCGTATCGTTGCGGTAATGGTTGACGTCACGCCATCGGCACGGAGCGGTGGTGGGGGGTTTTCCGATCTGATCTACGATCCTCGGAGTTGCACTGGCTGCCTAGACACTTATCAAACTGTGTGAGAAAGGAAATTTGACAAGGACAAACAGCTGTTGATATATGATTTACAAAAACAAAGAATAATGCTGGATAATTGACATGAGGTCAGAGATTATGCAGATAGGAATCAGAGGTAGGCCTAGGTACAGTTCCGCAGAGAACCGGAGATATATTTATTTATTTATTTATTTACTACATGTCATTACATCATTTTTTGACAGGACATAAAGTCATATAGGTACAGGATATACTAAAACTAAGAAATAACAAAAATGTCTTACTAAATTATTAATCTAACTTAACGTTCCTATTTAAATAACATTCTATAGAAAAAAAATTTTGTTTTTAACCAGGTCTTCAGGGTGGATCTGAACTGTGTTTTACTATCAATATTTTTTATGCGGAGTGGTAACTTATTGTAAACTTGTGGGCCTATATATTGGGGCGATAAATGAAATTTCTCTAATCTATGGGTTTCAGGCTTAATATAACTCTTAAATCTAGTGTGGTGGGAATGAATGGGTTGGTTCATGAATGAGGAGAGATTGTCTTTAACCCAATTTGAAATTTCTAAAATATAGTGATCATAAAATGTTAAAACCGAAAATGTTTGAAAAAGACTGGTACTTACGTATTATACGGAGGCAACTTATTTTACAGCGCGCTGCGGCGGTTGGGTTAAGTTGGGTTATCATAAATATGTTTGTAGAACTTTCCTAGTTTCGTTATGAATCGAACTATACGAGATGAGTCATAAAAACTTATGATAACCCAACCCAACCTAACCGCCGCAGCGCGCTGTAAAATAAGTGGCCTCCGTATAATACGTAAGTACCAAAAGACTTTTACAAGGAGTTCTACGAGGAACTCGCCCAATAATTCTAATTGCTTTTTGTTTAAGTTTGAATATTTTCCGATCTTGGTCTGCAGGTTATATTACCGGATTAAATATGAATATTATATTGATTATAGTTTTGGTTGATATTATATGGGACCTCAAAACGAAAAGTAAATCGGTCCCGAGTCCAGGTCTTACCATGAGACCTACTTAAACTTATAGCTTAAATTCCCTATATAGGAAATTCGCTAATATTCCCTATATAGGAAATTTGCAAAAAGAAACAACTTTATTCATTAATCCGATGCAATATTATACTGCGTATACTTCAAGTTGGCCGATGGACCCGGGACTACCTGTGGCTACCCCTATAATCCCTCGCAGCGTTCGCCGGAGCAGCCCGATGTCTAGGCGATGAGTCACCTACTGGCTGTGTTTATACAATGGTAAAACTTTTTAACAGAGTAATAATTTTACATTTTCAAAAGTGTATTTGAAATCTGCTAAAAAAGTTATGAAAAATGATATAAAACTCGACCAAAACAAAATAATATTTAATGTGATAAGGGTGTTACAATGCTAAAGTTAATCAACAAGAAAATCTGCAAACAAGTCTGTTTCTAGATGATTCATACTATTTCTAAAAGAGGGGTTGTGACTCATTTAGTAAAACTGCAAATATATAACCAGTGTGTGTAGTGACAGTCGAGGGGTGCACATCGTGAGTACGTGAAATTCGGCTAGTGTTTTGCGCTTATTTATAATTACATTTCTGGACGTTTAGTGAATATAATTTTAAAAGTAGTCAATAGAATTTGTTCGCCGTAAATTCTTATGTAATGCCTCCTTCAGAGAAACGGGGTAAAGTGTATCATTCCCAAGCTAGAACGATAATTGCGTCTGTCCTCCAGTATTTCGAGCGAGAACGCGACAACAAAGGGCCGCTAAAAGACGTAAAGAAAGTTGTCGAAAGAGTGTCCGAAGCGTGTCAGGTGTCGATACGGACCGTGGGAAGAATAAAGGCGGAGTTGAAAAGTGTTAGTGTTGGTGCTGATACATCTAATTCTAATGACATTCAACTGGACTTAGCAGAAGAAACTGAACAAGAAGCTGTAGCTGTATGTAACCACTCGACTCCTGTACTTCAAACGCCAAAAAAGAAAAAGCACAAGCAGTCACGGTTCTCGCTCATGGACGATTTTGACAGAACTGCGATTCGTCGGCACGTGGTAAATTATTACAAACGCAAAGAGGTACCAACGCTCCGAAAACTTCAGGTCACACTTCGTGAGGCAAGTCTATTCAGTGGCTCATTACGAACGTTATCCAAATTGTTGAAAAACCTTGGTTTCCGCTGGAAAAAGCTCAACAAAAGAAAACTGCTAATGGAAAAACCTAGTATTGCTTTATCTAGGTGTAGATTTTTAAGAAAAATGAAAAATGTTGATATGAAAAATGTAATTTTCCTTGATGAAACGTGGCTTAACGCCAACTCAACAAAGGAGGTGGGATGGACGGACGACAAGTCTGATTGCAACTTAAATGCTCCGCTCGGAAAAGGGAAAAGACTCATAATATGCCACGCAGGAGGATACAATGGTTGGATAAACTCACCACCATTGATTTTTGAATCAAAAAAGACAGTTGATTTCCACGAGGAGATGAACCACGAAGTTTTTGAAGGCTGGTTTTTTGAGGTGTTGTTAAAATCAATCCCAGCTGGCTCTACCATAGTGATGGACAATGCCCCCTATCATTCCCGGGTGGATAATCCAGCACCAACAAAATCGTCTAGAAAAGGGGAGTACATTGACTGGTTGCATAACCGTGGAATTCCATTTACTCCAGATATGCGTAAGCCTGAACTCTACAATCTCATCAAACTTCATAAGCCCCAGCTTACTTCCTATGTTATTGACAACAAAGCTGCTGACCTAGGATTTAGAGTAATCAGACTTCCACCATATCATTGTAATTATAACCCCATTGAAATGGTATGGGGCCATTTGAAGCGGTACGTAGCATCAAAGAACACCACATTCAAGTTGTCAGACGTTCAGGCACTCTTCATGGAAGCTGTGAACTCCTATCCTCCCGAAACCTGGGAAAAATGTGTCAAGCACGTGAAGACTGAAATGGACAACGATTGGCTTAGTGAAGGTCTCGACGATACCAGTGTGCAGGAACTAATCATTAACCTGGCTCCAGGGGACTCGGATGTGGATGACAGCGACTGGGACAGCGATGAGGACGACGACTTGGGAGTCGCTCAGCTTGAATGAGTAAGTTATTTCCCTTATATATATAAAAAAAAAAAAAAACAGTATTTATCAGTTTTGTGGGGTCAGTTTTAATAAATGGAATTATTTTAATATTTAAAACTATAAAACTTCTACTTATTAAAATACTAGATTGTAAACAAACGTATTATTATTAATTTATAAAAATTAAAGTTATCATAAAATACCGTGTATAATCTTTTTTTTTAAGCTTAATTCTATTTTATTTTACTAAGAAGTTTGAAAAGATGTTTTTCTAGCATAATTGAATTTTTCAGCTGACAACTTTGCTCAAATTAAATAAATGGTTTTCAATTTTTCGTCAGTCAATTTGGTTACAAACAAATCGTAACCTACTTTTTACTTACTTATTTACTTAATTACCTTTTTCTCTTGCAGAGAGAACACAAGAATCCATATTTAAGAAGACCTTGCCAGTGAAACTATCAGAAGCAATTACAGACCACTGAAGATTTAATTTTGTTTAATAGTTAATAATTTGTTGTACAGTATTGTTTTTTTTATTGATGTGTATGATTTGTTTTGTATAGTATTTTGCATTGTACAGTATATAGCATGTTGTATATATAACGTTTTGACTGATTGTTATTGTAATTCGTATTAGGCTTATTATATCTCATTAAAAAAGATGTACTATTAACAAATTCTACGGTAAATTTAATTTTACCCAAACAGTCCCGAACTTAACCTTTTACTATTGATTTACAGCTTATAACTTGCCTAACTCCTTTTGTTCAGGTCGAGTTTTATATCATTTTTCATAACTTTTTTAGCAGATTTCAAATACACTTTTGAAAATGTAAAATTATTACTCTGTTAAAAAGTTTTACCATTGTATAAACACAGCCAGTAGGTGACTCATCGCCTAGACATCGGGCTGCTCCGGCGAACGCTGCGAGGGATTATAGGGGTAGCCACAGGTAGTCCCGGGTCCATCGGCCAACTTGAAGTATACGCAGTATAATATTGCATCGGATTAATGAATAAAGTTGTTTCTTTTTGCAAATTTCCTATATAGGGAATATTAGCGAATTTCCTATATAGGGAATTTAAGCTATAAGTTTAAGTAGGTCTCATGGTAAGACCTGGACTCGGGACCGATTTACTTTTCGTTTTGAGGTCCCCAGAGGCCACAAAACACCATCCGTTCAAATGTGTTAATATGTGTAATATATGTGTCCGTTAGCACGATAACTCGAGCAAAAATGATCCGATATTAATGAAATTTGGTATAAACATGTAAACCTACATTTATTTGAACGAGTTTGCGAACCAGCATGATCGGACTATGGGAACAGGGGTTTATGGGGAGTTTTATGGGGTAAAAATAGGTTTTTCTAATTTTTCACTCTGAAAACATAAAATTTTGCAATTTCTGTCCAAACCATTTTGTAAAGCTAAAAAAAAATAATAATATAGTATATTGAAGCATTGTTGTATGCCTAACGGTTACGGAAAAATTCCAAAAAGAGTGTAAATTTTAAATTACCACTTTATTCTTATGGAGAATAAATAAACTGTTGTAGCTTGCTTGTCTATGTACATATTTAAAAAATGAAATTTTTAAATTTTGTTTACCTACTTTATACCAAGCTATTGATATTTCACTAAAAACCCCCTATTTTCTTCCAAGTCAGCAAACCTAAGTACTGTACACTCATTTAAATTAATGATATTTAAATAGGAAATAAATCTGACAACTTTAAGGGAATAATTTAGTGGAATTCCACTCACGTAGATAGAAATTCGCTTGGTCTGCAGGTTTGCTGCGGTGGGGGATTTTATCCTTGGTTTTAGCGAAATTTCCCATATAGGGAATATTAGCGAATTTCCCATATAGGGAATAAGCTATTACCATTACCGTAGTACTCATGGTAAGACCTGGACCCGGGACCGATTTAATTTTTCATTTTGAGGTCCCTAGAGGCCAAAAACACCATCCGTTCAAATTCATATATATATATATATATGTGTGTGTGTGTGTCCGTTAGCACGATAACTTGAGCAAAAATGATCCGATTTTGATTAAATTTGGTACAAATGTGTAAACCTACGTTTATTTGAATGAGTTTGTGTTCCAGCATAATCGGACCATGGGAACGGGGGTTTATGGGGTAAAAATGGGGTTTTCCCATTTTTGACCCTAAAAACAAAAAAAAAAAAAATTGTAAACCGTTTTGTAGAGCTTAAAAAAAGAAATAATTTAGTATATTGAAGCGCTGTTGTATGCATAACGGTCACGGAGAAAATTCAAAAATAGTGTAATTTAAAATTCCCATGTTAATCTTATGGAGAAAATGAAAATTGTTGTAGTTTACTTGTTTATGGATATATATTGATAATATACCCCCGCCGCAGCAAACCTGCAGACTAAGCGAATTTCAACTTGTCTGATTACATTTTTACTAAAATATTTCCATAAATAAAGATATTTAATCCCAATTAAAATAACATTAGAATTAACGAGTGCTTAGGTTTGCTGCTACGGGGAAGATAAAAGTGTTTTTTGACCATAAGTCAATACTAGGATGAAATAAATAAATTTGCCAAATTTTATCTTGTTGTTGGTTCATGTTACAATAGAACCCCGGTTAACCGAAATAAAGGGGGGAGAGCCATTTCGGATAAGCAATTTTTTGGTTAACCCATCATATGCTAAAAATAGCCAATGTATCACCACAGTGTGTAGGAATAATGAATTTAAGAGAATGTCTAAATAATTTAGTGTTTTATTTCAGCTACAAAAATATTACAATGGGATAGAAAATACTTTAAACCAGACAACTGAAGTTATTACACAAAGCATTTTACAGCCCTATATTAATTTATAGAACCATTTCGGTTAACCCGGGTTTCGGTTAACCTGAATTCGGTTAACAGGGGTTCTACTGTACATAGTCTAAATAATGTATGTGTTAATGGTTCTAAGCTTTCGATAAAATATTAGCTACGGAATTCTTGAAGGCAAAACTACTTTGCTTTGTTTAGTTTTTAAATAAAAAATTCCAAAATGAGGCCTAAGCCAGAAAAAAATATACGATAAGACTTCCCTATCCTTACCTAAGTTTTTAGCTTAAGTTATTCTCACTTAAAAGCATAGTTTTGTAGTAGGCCCACCTATAAAGTGATGAGACATAATATTTTACATCAATATATTGACGTAACTTTATTATGTTAACAGTGTTTTTAGTCACATGTATTATAACCTTAAACTTACTTCTGAGAATTTGTATTGTTTGTGTAACTTTAACGAACCCAATAATCTGTTACAGATTATTTCAGAAGAAGAAGTTTTGGAATCAAAATGTGGCCAATTGTCTTCCCCGTCTCTTACAATGAAGGTGGAACCTAATGGTAACATAGACAATTTAATAGACGAAGAACTTCCAATAAAAGATTTGACTATTTGGATCGATCCCTTAGATGCTACTCAAGAATTCACAGGTAACACACATAGCTAGAATGCGGCTAACTGAAAAGCTTAAAATCTCCAAAGAATATATTAGATTGTGTGGCGACAGGAACTGAATTTTTGAAATCGTTAATTTTTCAATCCTGTGACATTGTCTATTGGCTAGCAATGTAATGTTGACAAATGGCAATGATGATATTCTGAATTCATATTCATGAAATGTCAGTTTGCAAGCCTTATAACTTGATATTGTTCTTTTCCAAATTCCAACAGTTATTTGTCCAATAACTTTTCTTATCTGACATAAATAGTGTTTTTGCTTTAGATATTGTTGTAAAATTCCTATTTTGGGAATAAGCTATTACTGTATTTATGATGGTAAGACCTGGACACGGGACCTATTTACTTTTTTCTTTGATGACCCCAGTGGCCAAAAACACCACCAGTTCAAATTCATATACATACAGTGTGATTGAAAAGTGCCGGTGTAATATATTTGTTGTCATACTGCAGCAAAAACAGCCGTTTTTAATGCATGCGTTTCGGGTCTATAAAGTGAAATTTTTACTCTCTAGGGAGTAAAAATCGTGTTTAGCCCCTAGGGAGTAAAAATAAGCTGATGTCAACTCAGTTGTAAATTTTGATTGTAAACAATCGCATGTAACGAAAGTATGCTTTAATCGATTGTAGTTTATTGCAGCATGTACACATTCTGGAAAGTCAGGGATAGTAATGGAAAGTTATGGAAATCAGGTTATTGAAAGTCATGGAAATCCTTCCCATATACTATAAAATAAAAGAATATAGGAAAGAAAAACGAAAGTTTAGAGAGAACTTGGCCAGCTATTGTGACGAAGGTGGCTGGGTTTTCTTTTTTCTTTCCTTATTCTTTGAATACCATATTTTTGAAAAATTTACTACTCCATTGGTATCTGGTTAATACATATTTCAGCATTTTCTATGAAATAACTTGTCTAGGCAGTACTATTAGTGTATATGTTATATTATAATTTTCGAGTAATGTTCGTGACTCGTGGAAATCAATGGTAAATGTTCATGGAAATTAATGACAAATTTTCTGTAGACACCCTGTTATTGTTGCTTTATTGTAAACTAGCTGTACCCGCGGGCTTTGCCCCGTTCTACTTCTTAAGTGAGCTCGTTCGCATGGCTCAATCACGTCCTGGTTGAAGTTCGTTCGCTACGCTAACTCGCCTCCAGGTTGAAGATCGTTCGCTACGCTCACATACCTTTAGGTTGGAGCTCGTTCGCCGCGCTCACTTGCCTTCAAGTTAGCTCGTTCGCTACGCTATCTCGCCTCCAGGTTGAAGTTCGTTCGCTACGCTCACTCACCTTTTGGTTGCAAATTAGCTGTGTTGTCATAAATTGGCAATCCTTGTAACTTTAATGCTATTGCACATCATAGAACAGAACCAACTTGTTTAATTGAAACAGCTGTTAAGATTCATTAACTCCATTGAAATATGAGTACTCATAAGGTTAACATGGGAAACTCCAGAGCCACTGGGGCGGAGGCCGAGAGTCCGATCAGAATAAAAACAACTTAGTTTTCCTATTTTATGCCTAAAGAATCAGTGTACCAAATTTCAGCCTCCTAGGTAAATGGGAAGTGGGAGAATTAGTGATGAGTGAGTGAGTGAGTCAGTCAGTCAGTCAGTCAGTGAGGGCTTTGCCTTTTATATATATATAGATAGTTTGACAAATCGATGAATTTGGTTATTAATGTAGTATCTTTAAGGGCACGACAATGGCATTGTCTGTCATAGGCACAAAGTTGAAACTCTCCAAATGTTTGACCTCTTGTTTTATAATTGTTCTCTTGTGTAGAAAACCTACTGGAGTACGTGACGACACTGATTTGTGTGGCATACAAAGGTCGTCCATTGGTGGGAGTCGTGCATCGGCCTTTTGCCCAAGAGAAGACAACCTCATGGGCGTGGGTCGGTCGTGGAATGTCATCTGACCTTGCATCTTATCAAAATGTTAGTAGACCTATATTTCATATTGATTATTTAGATTGCTACTTTATTAAAGTGATGATTATGCTTGTTACAGCTAAGCAAATAGGTACTACTAAGTAATTTTTCAGGCGCTTAAAGTTGATAATTATTATCATTCACATTTTTTGCAGGCATACATTTTCATAGTAAATTTAAACTTTTTGTTATTGTCTACACCTGCGGCATTTTATGATTACGTATAGAGGAGGTACACAAACACTTTTTGGGAAAGCGGTAAACCCATATGATTTGTAGGTGTGTCGGGAATTCAACACATCCGTCTCGCACCAAAGTTTGAGACTCTAACTACTAGGCTAGCAACACACACAAAAATATGGTTTATATTCACATTTTTGGAAGATTGAAAACTTAGTCAGTGTTTAAGAACTAGCTGACAGTCTGGATTAGATACAGATGCTCATCTTGAGGGGGGGAAATGAGTAAAATAGTATCCAAGTCTATCTTAATGTTAGTTTACATAATCAACGTCTTCCTTTTGGTTGACATCTCCACACCCTTCCAATTAATGCATCCTTTTCTCTTCTCACATGACCAAGGCACCTAATTCTCCCACTTCTACCATTGCCACAATATCTGGTATTCTGTACGGGTTCCTGAGTTCTCTATTTTTTTGGATTCTCCAAACCCAGTCTTCTCATGTTGGTCCATACCTCTCAATATTTATTTTCAAAAGTTATTAAATTCTTCTGGATCTGTTTTAGCGAATTTCCCTAGAGGGGAGTAGCTATTATCGTAGGTGGCATGGTAAGAGCTAGACCCAGGACGATATAATTTTTCATTTTGATATCCCTAGAGAATATATATAGGCCTACGTCCGTGAACGCGATAACTTGAGTAATTTTTGTCCGATTTTGATTAAATTTTGGCTTGAAGGTATGGGGCCAGATAAACTTGAATGTGTTTGCAAACCAGCATGATTAGACATGAATGTATAGGAATGAGGTTTTATGGGTTTTCCCCATTTTTGACCCTCAAAACTTAAAATTTTCTTCCAATTTCTCTTTAAATTTTTTTAAAGAGCTTAAAAAACAATTAATTTATATTGAAGTGTTTTTTACAGTTATTGGTTAAGGGGAGAATTCAATAAATTGTAAATTTAAAATTCAAATGTTATTCGTAGGTATGGAGAATATGAAAACTGTTGTAGTTTGCTTTTTTTATGGATATATTTTGATTTTGATCAAACTTAACAAATTTATCTATTTTTCACTAAGGTTTTTAAAAAAAAAAACACTATTACCGGGGCCAGTAGCAGAAACCTAGATACCTGATAACCTAATCAATGTTATTTAAGTAGATTTAATTGAAAATCCAATCAGGTAGATGGAAATTCGCTAAATCTTGACAGGATTTTTGCTCTTCAATATTTTTTATCGACTCCAGTGACATCTATTAGCAACATTAAACCCCATTTTGTATCTCCTTCTATTCTATTTTGACTGTTTATGGTAACTCCCAAATACTTCAATTCTTTAAAGTAGGTTTTGACTGTTCTATTACTAAAATGCCAATGGTGTAAGAAGACACAAAGTTAACCAGGTTCTATGTTTGGTTAAGTCTCTGATTATTTTCTAGGTGGAGAGTTCTCCTACAGTGGTGGTTTCCCGTTCACATTCTGGCTCCATAGAGGACATTGTGCACAAAGCTCTTGGCACCGACACTCCGATAGTCAAGGCAGGAGGAGCTGGTAAGTCAATATTCAACCTGATATTGTAATTGGAAATCCACTTTCAATTTTAGCAAATTGTTTTTGGAAAGGTTAGCTGAATAATTGAATCAATGAATGATTCCTTGTGTCAGGATTTGATGTGAACACTAAGTCCTTAGAAATAAAACCCTTAACTAACTAAAAACCTAATGTAAACTGAATATTTTTAGGATACAAAGTGCTCCAAGTCGTCAGTGGCAACGCTAGCGCCTACGTCCACGCAACGGCCATTAAAAAGTGGGACATATGTGCGGGAAATGCAATACTGTCGGCAGTGGGAGGCGCTATGACCACACTCACTAATGAGGAAATAGACTACTCTCCGCCCAAAGGACCTCTGAACAGGGACGGACTGCTGGCTACCCGACACGACCATTCTCAGTACGCCTTGCGCTTCCACCAGGCGTTGCAAAGAGACATGCACCTGTAAACTGCAGCGAGGCAATTTGATTGCTCTGGTTGATCAAAGTGTTCGGATGGATAGTTTATTGAATTTGGTATTTCCCTGTACCTGCTTAGCAGCTGAACTGTATTCTATCGATTGTGATGGACATTGTGAAGCTACAGGAACTGAACACTTTGAATTTTGAATGCATTAGTGAATTACAGGGGACTTCTAGGGGTTTGGCGTATTAAAATCTATGGAAATTTTCTTTTTTACAATACAAGTTTTTTAGACTAGGATAGGAAAAAGAACAGAACAAATTAGAAATATATAACCCACAACTTGTTCACATTGTTTAAAAAGAAGCTAGTACCGGTAAGTACCGGTGCAATATAGTTATTTTCCAAATTTTGCTAAGAATATTTTCTAATGCAGTGTAAAATATTTCAACTACTTTACAAAAAATATATATATAAAACTCAGCAAAACGTCCTGCAACACAATAATTAACATTTACTATCCTAGGAGATCCCTCAAAAGATTTACAAAATTAAATGCTTAAGAAATTTTTTATTTTGCAATTTCCAATGCACAGGATGGTCATCATAGTCTTAAGTCGACAAAATGTTTAGCAGTCAGAGTAAAATTTATAGCACAAACTTTAGGCTATCAACACTAAATTTAATTTTAATTAATTAATTGTTGAGTTTGTCGTTCTGGTTGTGAGGACAGTTTCTAAAACAATAAGTCTGGCTGAAATGCAATCTTTTAGGTTATATTTTTAAATTTCAATGCAAAGTTAATTTAAACAATTTCAGATGGTGTTTTAAAGTAACAACAATTAACTTTCTCTGATTATTACCATTAAATCCAATTAACTGTGGGTAAACCGAATTGTAAAAATTTAAAATGACACAGTTCCAAGTAATCGGTTATCATGGGGTTTTTTACCATTCAAATATGCTGTTCACTTCATCTAGTATTCCACTCAAGTTTCACAATAGGCACTTACTTATCTGTATTATTTTTATCTAACTAACTCATAATGTTTAAGGTGGTAAACCTTAGAATTTTTCCCAGTTTAGAAGTCAATTACGCCTGCTGTAAATATTGTAAAAATTGAAGCATCAAGTAACAGTAACATAAAACTAAAATACAAATGTTTTTTTTCAAATTTAAGTAGGCTATCCCTAGAAAACTAGTCTTCCACTTTTGATTTGAATTAGTTTTTTTTCTTCACAGAAAATAAGGATTGTTACTTGCAGTTGCAGACTCATAAATAAATAATATATGAACCTGGTATGCTATACCGAGTAGTTTTATACTTGTAAATAATTGTTACTAGGATTAAGTTTAATGAGACATTTTACCAAGTAGGCTAAGTTGTAAATAACAATTGAAGTGTTACGTCTTTTAATGTTGTATGTAAACCGTTAAAATTGTCTTAAGCTTTTCAATTTAAAAAGTTATAATTGCAAATAAAAATAAATGGGCTGCCATGCTCAGGGCTAATTTTAAACTTGTCTTAAAAAAGGTTTTGGGTTTTTGTTATGAAGTTTGTGTGATTTTGTTTTTTATAGTTTATTTCATAATTTAAGTTACGAGTAGTATTACTATGGTGCTTTATTAATTTAATTACATGAACAAAGACATAAATCCTTCAAATCAAGCTTTCTAGGAAAATAATCTTGAATAACCAAAGCATTTTCTCCTATTTCAAATTCAAGTAATATGGTATTCAAGAAATATGTAAATTTGTGTTATTTTTTATTTGTGGACCCAATTTCAAGAACTATTTTAATCAGAGTTTACCTTAATAGTTGTTTCAGTTCTTGAATGCAGATTGAGATCCATGCACATTTTGCTGTGCGGTGAATGATTTTTGATTTTCAGGGTCTTCTCGTTTTTATTGGTATAAGAAGACCTTGGAGATGCACTAAACCAACGGTGAAATGTACATGGATCTCATCTACAATCTAGAACTATGACAACCATTAAGGTATATTCAATTGTAAACTATGTAGGTTTCAGAATACTGTTCAAAAATGCAATCAGATTCTTCAAATTAAATATTTTTTATTATTAAAACTTGAGCGTTCACCTTGTGTGTTGTGATTGGGCTGATACTTAAAATTATAAAAAGTTAGATGAATTATAAGTTAAAATTGTAAATTCCTTGCTATTGCAAATTGCTTTTGTTGATTTGTTCCTAATAAATTGTTTAAATATCATGTTATTTTATTTGTTACTAGCAGAGTACCCGTCCTTCGTACGGGGTTGGCATATAAGTATCAAATGCTTATAGCAGTTATGAGTGAGGACATGGTTTAAGAAATTTCGGTTCTTTTTGAAGTTCGTTCGCTACGCTCACTCACCTTTAGGTTGGAGCTCGTTCGCTGCGCTCACTTTCCTTCAGGTTAGCTCGTTCGCTACGCTCACTTGCCTTCAGGTTAGCTCGTTCGCTACGCTCACTCGCCTCCAGGTTGAAGTTCGTTCGCTACGCTCACTCACCTTTTGGTTGCAAATTAGCTGTTGTCATAAATGTAAAAGAAATAATAGTGCTAGTGCTGCACCCTGTTGGTAATCCTTGTAACTTTAATGCTATTGAACATCACAGAACAGAACCAACTTGTTTAATTGAAACAGCTGTTAAGATTCAATAATTTCATTTCTCATAAGGTTAACATGGGAAACTCCAGAGCCACTGGGGCGGAGCCCGAAAGGATTTTTGGGATAAAAATATGCCTATATGTTAATCGGGAATGTGAGCTATCATCATGCCAAATTTCAGCCCGATCCGACCAGTAGTTTTCGCGTTTACTTTTCCCATACACACCCACAGACACCACCTCTTTTTTATAATATCTAAATATATAAAAGGCAAAGCCCTCACTGACTGACTGACTGACTGACTGACTGACTGACTCACTCACTCACTCATCACTAATTCTCCCACTTCCCATTTACCTAGGAGGCTGATATTTGGTACACTGATTCTTTAGGCATTAAATAGGAAAACTAAGTTGTTTTTATTCTGATCGGACTCTCGGGCTCTGCCCCAGTGGCTCTGGAGTTTCCCATGTTAACCTTATGAGTACTCATATTTAAATGGAATTAATGAATCTTAACAGCTGTTTCAATTAAACAAGTTGGTTCTGTTCTATGATGTGCAATAGCATTGAAGTTACAAGGATTACCAACAGGGTGCAGCACTATTATTTTTTTTATTTATGACAACAGCTAATTTGCAACCAAAAGGTGAGTGAGCGCAGCGAACGAGCTCCAACCTAAATAAATAAAAGGTTAAAATACCTGCTTGTCGCCTTGTGGTCCAAGTATTGTCCTAGTGGATTATGTACATTTCGGTGCGAGCGCCATCGTCGGATCCATATAAGAACTGTTTACACTAAACTTCCCTGAAGAGGTGCGTAAGATGTTCACAACACAAAACACATATAAAAACCGGTCGACCGTTAATTAACATTTTTTAACTCTTGCTACGCGTGCACGGGCAGGATATGGAGGCGCGCCAGACGTGTGTCGAGACTCGACTCGAAAATTACGGGTTACGAAAATTACGTACTCGTAAATTACGAGTGTTTCACGAGTCGAGTCTCGACACAAGTCTGGCGCGCCTCCATATCCTGCCCGTGCACGTGTAGCAAGAGTTAAAAAATGTTAATTAACGGTCGACCGGTTTTTATATGTGTTTTGTGTTGTGAACATCTTACGCACCTCTTCAGGGAAGTTTAGTGTAAACAGTTCTTATATGGATCCGACGATGGCGCTCGCACCGAAATGTACATAATCCACTAGGACAATACTTGGACCACAAGGCGACAAGCAGGTATTTTAACCTTATATTTATTTGTCAATCAATTGGTCCGGAAACACCACAACAAATATGAAGTTATCCAACCTAAAGGTGAGTGAGCGTAGCGAACGAACTTTAACCAGGACGTGATTGAGCCATGCGAACGAGCTCACTTATGAAGTAAAACGGGGAAACCCCCCGGGGACAGCTAGTTTGTTATAAAATTCTCCTTTTGTACAATTGTATTGAAAGTTTCACTGTGTCGTTATTCAAAGTATTCAAAGTTTTTGTGATGTCCCTGACAATGCCAGCATAAAAATGCCTTATAAAATAAAAACTAACTACTAAAATATTGTGAAATTGCTTATTTTAAAATGTAAGTATATTTTAATTAAATTATTATAATGTATAGATATAGACTATATTTATCTTTAAATGTCAAATGTTGTAAAAAAAAAAAAACAGTATCAGCAATCTGACACATACATTCTCCAATTAGCTTGTCAACAACCCTCATGGCACATGGGTATGCGGTGAGAGTTCAGTGATCCAGAGACAAAACAACTCAAATATGAAGGTGAGAGTAACATTGATGATTCATGGGGAAAATAACAAAAGTTGCAATAATTTTTACAGTAAAAGGGATTGTTCTGTTAATGTGTAGAGTTAAAAGGACTAATGCACACAATTTTAACTAAAATTAGTCGAGTAGTTTTGCCGTTATTTAATAGGTTTTCATGAAGAAAATCATAAAAGTTTCAATAACTTTTGAACCAGAATTTTTACAGTGATGGGAGCTATACCAAAGTCAAAATGACCATAAAATACTAAATTTGAATTAAAATCTTTCGGGCCATTTTTGAGAAAGTAAGATTGTTTTGTTCTATTGGTTTTGATAGATTATTATTATCAATCCGAACCACATTTTTTCCTTGTAATTTACGAATTGGTCTAATTATCAGGATAGTACTGCGGATAGTCGTAGTACATCACCATCAAAAAAAATTTTGAAACACCTGGAGATACCATGGTTTACTACCGACATACCAAATTCCATCAAACAGACAAGTGTGGTCTGTAGCTCTGTTAACATTCACACACACATACACGTAGACATAACTTCAAAGTGAAGTAGTCTTTGTTGTTGCTGTTTTAGTTGAAAATCAAAATAATAATTTATGAATATTACTATGCAACAGTAACAGGATATAATCAGAGAGTATTTTTCGTTTGCCAGTTGATAAGGATATTTATTGTCTACTCTGCCTCAAAAGTGCAGGTTAGTTATAAAACACAACCCTATTGATTTATTATACATTGTTACTACTGAAGTAAGATTTCTAGTTGTCATTCAATAATAAACTAACTGTATACAGCATTACAATACAATGTGCAAAATCATGGTTGTTTATATGTTTGCAAAATATCTTTTTGACAACAAGTTTTTCTTGTTTGAAAACACACTACTGTGCTTAGTAGTTGCACAAATAACTATTAAAAAATTTCAGATATAATGCTTAATTTATTCTCATTCAACCAATATTTTTAAAATTGTTAGTCAAGTTCAAATATTAAATTTATTTAATACTTTCATAGAACAACATTTGTTTACATTTACATCTTCAAAATTTTTAACTTTCTTCATGAATTATTGGTGATAAACCTGAAACAAAGTAATCAAAGAATTAAAATTACTGAAACTATCGTTTAACATCTCTTAAACTTGCTACTGCATCAACTATTATTTTTAAGAAGTAGAATATCTTATATGATTATAAAATAAACGGTTTCAGCAATCTCCCACATACTTTCTCCCAATAGCTTGTCTACAACCCTCGTCTTAGGCAAGCGGTGGGAGTAACTGAAGTATTTTATGGGTAATATCACAAAAGTTTAAATAACTTTTGAGTCGTTAATTCACAGAACTGCGGGTTGTACCATTTTGTATTGATTTAAAAGGACTACTGTATAACAAACTACATTTTAATATAATAGGGGATGCTTTTAACCGTATCTCCTATATTCTCCTTATTTTTTGTGGCGCAAATACATTCCTCAAGCAAAGTCAAACCTGTCAAACCTTTCCTTTCTAACCTAAAAGCTACTACAAAGCTACAAAATATGTATTACCTTGTTATTTTTACTAAGACTTCGGATGATATTTGACCGTCCTGCCAGGTCTGTTGGATAACATGTTCGTTGCTCTTGTAGACTTCGGCTGGAAAAATATACTTTGTCAAAACTCATTATATTTTACCATAGCTTAAATACAGTCAAACCACCATTGCATCCGTACCAACCATTTTATGAACACAATATTAAAGAGATGTTATATAACTACCTATATAAAATATTAGATAAAATGTAAAATTTAAAAGTTTAAAATAAATGAGATTTAAGTATAGAAACTAACCACTCCAAAATCGTTTGTCTCTTTAGAATCAACACAAGTACTTTTTTGCCTTTTGATGGAGACAATTACACTGTGTTAAATGTAACGGCTGACTAAAGCCCCGCGCGCACTGCGTTCCCATGTAATGTAATGGAGGTGCGCGCACTAGGACGGCACGGCCGTCACGGACGCCACCGCCGCCACCGACGTCTGTCAGAAAGTTCGGAGGAGCGAATCTCAGGACAATTCCGCGGCGTCCGTGACGTCCGTGCTGTCCCAGTGCGCGCACCCCGCGGCACGGAAATTTGTATCATGTCTAGAAAGACTCTCCTCTAGGTATCGAAGTAGACATTCGAACTTTTCATGGGTCATCCTAAAGTACTGGAAAAATTTGTCATCGTCCTCTACAAGATCGGGGAATAATGTGTGAAATTCACCAAAACCTAGTCGTTTTCTATTTATATTATGTATCCAAAATCTCGCTTTCCTCTTCCTCTCCTCCTCCTCTTCTCCTAAAATTAATCCAACTACCCCCACGTCTTCGTCGATATCCATAGCTCCCATACTCTCACTGCTCACAGCAAAACAACTCAATTGCAAAATACATCAGTCCAAAATGCTGTGACGGCCGGCCGTGCCGTCGCAGTGCGCGCACCCCCCCTGAAAAAGGCGGCGACGGCGGTGACGGCCGTGACGGCGCAGTGCGCGCGTACCTTAAGAATGTTGTGCTGGTATCTGTTTGCAGTGTTAAACTAAAACTGCCTGTCTACACATGTTTATATTGGCACTGAAAAAATACTAAACCTTATTTTCAGCCAAATCTTTGAGTTCATCAAACTTTGCTGCCATTAAGTCCACCTATAAAAAAAAACACAAGCTTAAGAAATACACCAGTATTACTTAAATAAATTTGAACAGTACTTAAACTATAATCATATTTCAGTTATATTAAAACAAAAAAATCATTGCTGTCTAATCATAACTACTGACAACAACTTGCTCTTGAGTTTATTATTATTTATTAATCCAT